GCTTCCACTTCTCATCAAGCTATGCCGGGTCGATGAAGTCACGTTTTGGGTAGGCCTGAAAGTTTCATGGACTGTCTGGAATTTCTCGTACAGTATTATCAGGAACACTCTCGCGTGGGTGGTTGGGCGGAGTTGGGAACTTGTCCTAAGCCTAGACAAAGCTCGATCAATTTGCGGCCTATCCCAATTGACCCTTTTTTATAATGTCTTTCATTGTCCTCAGAGCAAGGATGCAGTGCACAGCTCCATAATGCAGATATGCCTGGTACCAGCAGTTTTGCTTTTGAGAATCGAACTTTCGTCCACAGGCCATTGACCCTGAATGGTGGGGTCATTGAGTCTTACCCCTCTCAATGCCATGATGTCAACATCATCTGTTGACCCCATCCCCTGGAAAATGAGTACAATTCACACACCCCCCTCCACCAGCCGCCAGCGGCGAGTTGGCAGATACCCCTGGCCAGCAAACACAATTTCATTTGTTTTCCCTTTGGGGTGGAGGGGTGGGAAGGGATAGTACCCTGCAATGGCTTAAATGGAGCTCTCTTTCTCTTGATTTTGCTGAACATAAAGGATAGAACTATTGTTTCGAGTGGGCCGGCATTATTTGTCCACCTCCTTTGGTTGAGACTTCCCCAAGGCAACTGCTCAATAACACCACAATCCCAAACGCACAAAAGCAATAGTTAATTCTTCTCAAAAATCACTTCTCATATCAGACATCCTAAGAGAAGATCATCCATCTTCTCTCCAACCACACTTTTATGCTCCCGTCAGGTTTAACACCCTTGACTTGCCTTCGATTTTCTACATCTTTCTCAATAACTCCTGTTTCCCCAAATGGCTTATATCCGGCCGGATCCTCCTAATGGAGGAGGCAGAGCATGGTTAGTTGTTGTAGGTTCATTTCTCCTTCAAATGTCATCTTTTGGATACCTCAATACGTGAGTATACCCGCTCTTTGCCATTATAATATTTGGCTTCCTCTTCCATTTTCCCTCCTCGGTAGACTTGAGATGGCATCATCCCATGGATGAGGACTAGCACAATGAAAGCTGACTCGTTTGAATTCCTTTCTCTTATTGCATCTCTGGTAGCTGCGGAACTTTCCAATACTATTATCGGAGTGCCATGCTCCCTGACCAAACTGCATCACAGCTTGCTTGGATCACAACTTTGCAGATCGCTTTTTTCTTCGCATGCGGGCCAGCTGTGGGCAAACTTGTGGATGTGTATGGTTCACGAGCAGTCATCGCGCCATTCGCTGCGCTGGCCGTCATATCACTTGGTACGCTGAGCCTCTGCAGTGAGTACTACCAAGTACTCCTAGCTCAGGGGGTTGCTTTTGGAATCGCAGTCTCCGGGACCTGTTTGCCCGCAATAGTTACGGTGTCCCAGTGGTTCTCAACCAAAAGAGGATTGGCTGTTGGTGTTGCAAGCTGTGGAAGTAGCGTTGGTAAGAGAATCAAGTTCAGCAGTGGACCCCTCCCCTTCTTTTTATTTTGGCTGTGCTCAGCTTAACCGCAGAGAACTATAACAGCATAAGACATATCCTTTATTGCGTTCAGGCAAGAAATCTTGCTTGTGGAGCCTTTCACACTGACAAAATTGAGTAGGAGGTGTCATCTTCCCCATTATGGTTTCCAGACTGATCAAATCCCACGGCTTTGCGACCTCTATTAGATGGTCAATGGTTGTGGTGGCATACATATGCCTGATTGGATATTGCTCTTGCGACACACCGTTTCCACCACAATACAAGCTGAAAAGCTGCAATTGACGAGGAGGCTGTCCAGCATACAGACAGGAAGATCTCCCAGGATATAGAGCCAGATGATTCTGAATCGGTTAGGAATAAAGCGGAGGAGGTTGTATTGGATTCTCCCGTGCTCGAGACTGCGATACCACCAATCAACGAAGAGAAAAACGCAAAGGGGATGGGCGTCCTGCTTCAACGGAAACCACTTGGATGGGCGGGTTTTGTTCTGGGGACCTTCTTCTTCATGTGTGTGACTTCCGGCACGAAGATATGTACTGTACAACCACGTTGACTGACTTCAAATGTTCTGCTACTTCATAGGTGGTCATTCTTGGCGCCTTTCAACTATCTCCCTCTGATGTCAGTTGCCACTGGAATGTCTCCGGATCTTGCGCAGTACACTCTCACAGTAACCAAGTAAGTGACAACCCCAAGAAGCAGCCTTGGAAACAAAATTAAAATAAGGAAAAAGCATGGCTAATTGTGGATTCGTAGCGCCGGTTCAATGTTTGGTCGGTAAGTGTAACGCTTGGCCTCTCCTAGATGATCTTCCTTTCTCCCTTCTGCGTCGTACTTAACATCTGGTCCGCTTCTCTAACCAACGAGATCACAGTGTGGGCCTGGGGGCTGTGTCCGACAAATTGGGCGCATTTAATGTCATGTGCATTGTCACCACCTTCACTGCTACGTCAGTTTTAGCTTTTTGGCTCCCTCTCAGCAACAGCCCCTCCACGGTTGGTATTTTTATGTTTGGGGGAATCTACGGGGTTGCTAGCGGCGGTTTTATCAGTTTGATCGCTCCTTGTGTTGTTTCTCTCGCAGATAGCCAGCTGGAGAACCTTGGCATTACGTTCGGGCTTGTGTGTATAGGCCTTGCATTTGGGTATGTTAACACCATCCGACTTCAACTCACTCTCTATTTGTAACGGGACTTGTTGTCTTATCTATCCTCAAGCGACAATACCGGATAGAAGCTAATAAAGTAATTTCTTTCCGTCCCAAATATACAGCGCACTTGTCGGCTTACCAGCAATGGCCGCTGTGAAAGACAGCGCTACCTCTCACAGCTTTGAAGAACTAATTGTCTTCACAGGGGCAGTATTGGCTGTCGGCTCGGTCTGCATGATCTTCTCCCGCTATATGAAAGGCGGAATCAATATCTGGACCAAAGTCTAAAAAAAAGGCGGATGGACTTTCTCCTATGTACCCCGCGAGCATAAAGTGTTTTCTTCCTCCAAACAAGGACAGGTTATTTGATTTTTCTTGCAATTTTCCTTACAATTTTCCTTTGTTTATCAGGGTAACCCACTAGTTGCCTAAGGCGTTTAATAGCTAAAGGGTGGATTTGGCATCGAAGGCTTGACGTTCAGGAAATAAGGAGTAACGTGCAAATGAGAAAGCAACAAAGAAGAGATAAAATAAAAGCGAAAAAGAGAATTAGTACAGTTTCACAAGCAGATAGAAAAAAATAAGGCAATCACATTTCTCACAAGCTTATTCTATTATCGTTGAGATGGTATCTATGAGAAATAATCTCCTGGCTTGTTCATCCTTGCGGTTCTCTTGGGATCTCAAATTATGTTGTGTTGCCGAAAAATATCGGATGGATGCGGGACCGTACACAGACTAAAATGAATACTTTTCCCTACATGTTTTGTACAAGACATGAAAGTGAAAGATGATTGACCCCCAGCAACTAACTGATGTGGTAAGGGAAAAAAGTGGCAGGAAGCAGCATGCCACGTTCATTCCCACCCTCATCGACGTTTGCCCTCAACTTAACCACTGACGAACAAATTCGATAGGCCCAGGTTGAGATTGGCCACCTGAATCCATCCATCGCTCCACCACACTGCCAAGGCAAGACAGATGTTACACCAAGGTCAACCCTCAAGGTCGCTCTTCTTTCGGCGGTGTGATTAAATTAAGGCGGATGAAACTATGAATGAA